GTTGCTCCATTCGTTCCTCTTCTTCATAGTGTCCGCTGACAGGTCTGAGCACATTCTTATCTGCTTGCCTTTACGTGTGACTGCCTGGTTTTCCCTAGCTGCTCTCATAATTTTCTCCTTTTCCTCATAGTTGGATAGTTTAACAACTATATGTCTTGGAGACTTCTTCCTGGGATTCAGTCTTGCAGGCATTCTTTCAGCCTCCTGCATGGTTGCCTGGTTTTCATTCATTAAGTTAGGGAAGTTTTCCTCCAAGCATTCCATCACTATTTTGGACATTGATTTCCATGATGTGCATTCCTCCAGTAATCCAATAATTCTGATGTTGTTCCTTCTCATAGCATCAAACATACCTCTGGGGTTTTCTTCAACTTCTCTGATGTATTTGTTAGACTTTATCTCACGTTTATTAATATCTGCTTGTGAGTCTTCTAGGTCACTGGTGAGGTCCTCTGCCTCCACCATTGCCTGGGAGAAGTCGGTGAGTTTGCTATTAGTTTTTGTTATATCTCCCCTTAGCTCTTGTATTTCCCTTTGGTGCATGGCCTTTATCTCCTCTATAATTTCATCCTTTTTCTGTAATGCTTCCCTCATGTCCTGTATGACTCTAAGCAACATTCAGAAGATTTCTTTCTGTGGGAGGTCAACGTCCCAACATCCCTGCCTTTTCTATGACTGCCATTAGGTCCAGGTGGCCCTCTGTCATTGGATTCTGTTTCTCTAAAGTTGTCGAAGCCATGGAAGCAGCTTGCTGGTTTTTGGTCGATTTATTGAAACTAGGTGCCATTTTCCCAGATCTCTCAGAGCCCTGAGCTCTCTTTTTGGGAGGTTGGTGTTGGTGTTTCTATAGGCTGCTGATAGCCAACTGCCTTGAGGGGGGTGTTTCCCTCTCACCTTGGCCTATGCTTTGCGCTCCAGCCACCCTCAGGTTTCCTTAGGGGCTGTTTGCAGCTGTGCATGCTGCGGTCTGATGGAAAATGTTGGCCCGAGTGCAGGGGAGCATATTTCCGGGATGGGTTGGGGATTGGGTGACCTGTTCCTGGCTAGGGGAACTTCCCACAGGTATACAGGTGGGAGAGAGGGCCTGCTACTTCTGTTAGTGTGTATATCCTCTGCTCGGAGCAAGGGGGTGATGTGGAAGTGAGGATTGAGTAGAGAGAAGGGAGAATGCAGTAGGCAAGCCCCAAAGGTGTTGGTCCCTATGCCACAGCTGCAGAAGCTTCTGCCAGACTTGTGTCCACTGTCTGGCAGGCCTGGAGCATCACAGCAGGATGGGAACCTCTGTGTGTGTGTCACAGGAGTCGGGGGTGACCCAGGGATCTGACTGGCGGGTCTGTGCAGGGCACCGAGGCAGGGCCGAAGCCTCTGCCATATGCCTGGTTGCCCTGTGGTGCCAGCGCCCGAGACTCTTGGGTGGATGGGGCTGGCTGGTGGGTCTGTGAGTAGTGCCCAGATGAGACGGGCACCCTGGTGTGGGGGGGTGTCTGGTTGGCAGGTCTATGTGGAGTCCGAGGCATGAGGAAGCCTCCGCCATACACCTGGTTGCCCTGTGGCACCGATTGAGGCAAAGTAGGCACCCTTAGCGCTGCAAAAGAGGCTGCTAGTGAGCCTGAAACCACAGGTGTCCAGAGGGGGTGCAAGCGATGGGGTCAAAGTCCGCTTCTGGTTCAGAGAAGTGCTCTGAGTTGTCTTGGGAATTTGCAGACAGACTTGATGCCTCTACTCAGCCCCAACATCTCCCCACTCACCGATCTCCATGGAGCTCTGGGCATGGGCTACCTATCCTGTGGCCATTTTCACCAGTGTACTCTGTGGTTATCTTTTAACTACCTTTTAATCATGTAAGTTGTCAAAAAAAAGTAAGACAAATTGAATAATGAAAATTATTTTGTATCCATAGAAATGTAAATTATTGGTGTTCCCTGGGATTATTGTCCTGAACAGACCTATATTCATTTCAGCATTCTTCATCCACCCCTTCAAACTTTTTCTTTTAGCATCACTGTAAAATGTTTCTGTTCCCTGGTGGCATGGACCAGTAAACATTGGATTACTAACTACAAGGTTGGTGGTTCAAGCCCACCAGTTGCTCCATGGGGGAAAGATAAGACCATCTTCTCCCACAAAAATTTAGACCTGGAAAATGAATTTATAAGTATAATTTTGGGGGTCTCAGAACCAATTACTTGATTTTCCATTATTTCTTATGGGGAAGATATGTGAAGTTCTCAAACTTTTAGGTATTCAAACAGAATTTGAAGTGAATTTACTTCCACAACTGAGGTGTCACTATATTTCACAAAGTCAGCCATTTGTAAACCCCTGGAACACAATTCTACTGTAGCACACCTGGGTTCCATGAGTCAAAATCCACTAGACAGCAAATGGTTAGTTAATGAGGTAAATAAATCTTTGACTTATTTTCATTTGATATCTTTACACATTATGACATTGCTTTTTTAAAAATAATCTCTAATATCTTAATGGACTACAGAGTAAAATATGGGGAAAGAATTTGGTATCAAAATAACTTTGACTCATTAGTTATCAAACCAGGCAGTTATAAAATCATTTCTGGCTTCAATAAACAAAGAATAAAGTCATTTTGGGTTTTCCAGATAAATCTGCCTATAGAGTATCAAACTACAAACCCGGGGCTATTTGTGAGGATTGAATAGTGACACAAAAGTAAAATTGCTTCATTTCTTATTTCTGAGTCTTAGAACCATGATGGAGTTATTGTAAAGCCTGACGGAAGCAGTATATACAAAACACCTAGCCCACGGTGTGGTGTGTAGCACCAAATAGAACTCAAAAATGCTAGTAACCTTGACCTTTATGAAGGATTATAGGGGGGGAAATTGAAGTTATTAAATTTCTTTTTCAGTTTCATGCCTAGAGTTTGATATTCACTAAATACTCTCTGATTGGGAGAGAACCAATTTTCAAGAGAAGCATATCGAAAGCAGTAACGCTAATGGCTAATGCGTGTTTTAAAATTAGCTACAATGAATTTATCCCTGTGTGCCAGGCTTCTGCAATGGCTCATTTTAAACCTAGTGGGAAGGCTAACTGAACAATGCCCATGTTACATTTTCATAAGTGCACCTTATTTGCATGGTTTCACCCAGTCATTTGGTGGGTTTTACAAAGACTATGGCTAGAAAAGCTATATCAAGAATTTCACTCCATCACTCCAAAAGTAGAGCAGCTGCTTCTAATCTTGACAAAATGGTAACCATTGTCCCATAGGAATGCTTGCATATTCATTAGAGAGATGTCCTGAGGGAACTGGGCCCTACATATCTGGCAAAAGAAACTATTGTACACATCTTACAAACACACTTAAAAAAAATCAAATCAGGAGTTAATAAATTAAGTCCTTTGAGTCTATGTATATCCCATTTATTCATTAATACATTTAACATGCATATTTCATGAGCTAGCAACATATAAAAGTAAAGAAATATAAGTCTTGTCCTATGGCATTTATGATGTCCTGGGAGAAAAATATGTTGTTGTTTGGTGCTGGTCATGGGCCATGCTGATCATAGTTGTTCCTATGTTTGAGACCATTATTGCAACAATTGTGTCAATTTCTTTTGTGGGAGTCTTCCTCTTTTCCACTGTCCCAATACTTTGCCAATGAAGAACTGGTGGTGTAGTGGTTAAGCGTTGGTCTGCGATCTGCATAGTCAGCAGTTCAAAACCACCAGCAGCTCTGAGGGAGAAAGACTGTGCATTCTACTCCCATAAACAGTTACAGTCTCAGAAAATCCACAGGGGGTCCTAGGTGTCAGCATTGACTGGAAGGCAGGGAGTGAATGAGAATATTTTACCAAGCATGATGTCCTTCCCAGGGATTGATCTCTCCTGGCAACATGTCCACAGTATATGAGATGAAGTCGTGTATGTGTGTAAATTCTATTATTTTTAATAATTACATTTTTCTGCAATTTTTTGCAGTCACTCGACATATACTCACATAATTCATACTTTCATTTAACCAGACTCTACCATAAATACTTTTGGAGTTTGGGGGAATTTTTCATCTTCTATGATATCATAAATGTAAGGCGATTTCAATTGCCTAGCAAATATCTTATCACATGGATTCAGAGAAGTGCTAGACCATTCAGAACAGTGAGACAAGTGAATACCTTCATATAACTTGTTGCTTAACTTTTGACAAATAAGACTCACTAAAGTAAAAATAATTAAATCCTTAAATCTTTCCATAGAGGGAAAGCTGTATGAAAAGACTACTGTGTATAACATTAAATGCAGGTGAAAATAATAAAAACGAGATGATATCTTGGCATCCTTGCCTCTAATGAGTGTTCTGACTGTCCTTTTTCCAAGACAGATGTGTTTGTTCTTTAGCAGTTCGTGCTACTTGCAATATTCTTCACCAGCACCATGATTCAAGCACACTGATTCTTATTTGGTCTTCCTTATTCAATGTCGAACTTTCACATGCATATGAGGCAACTGAAAATACCACGGCTTGAGTCAGGTGCGCCTTAGTCCTCAAAGTAACACTCTTGCTCTTCAACACTTGAAAGAGCACATTTACCCAATGGAATGCATTTTTTTAAAATCATAGACACATGAAATTATATAACTTAGAACCAAAACAGTCAAACTCTCTGCCACTGAGTCAATGTTGACTCATTATGACCCCCTGTGCGTTTCTGAGACTATCACTATTTACAGGAGTGGAAAGCCCATTCTTTCTCCCTTGGAGCTGCTGATGGTTTCGAACTGCTAACAGTGCAGATCACAACCCAACAGGTAACCACTACACTACCAGGGCTTAGGACAACATCACATAAAACTCATTCCAAAATAAGGAAATAGTAACTTGACTCCATAATTTCTGAGAAAATGAAAAATTTTATTTACTAACAAAAGTAAAACTGGATTTCCCAAGGACAAGGTTTCTAGGGTAGGTTCATTTTGAAGAAGCAAGGGGGAATTCTTAAAGTCTAATCTGTACCTTATTCCCTATGTTTCATCATGCTACCAAAAAAAATTGATGGATTTACTGATAGTTCCATTTGTAAATCTTGATTATTAATGCTTTCAAAGTTTATTTAACAGGTTTTCATCTTCCCAAGTGAAAATATTTTTATCTGCAAAAATGCGAAGCATTTCTTGCATATTTTTGTTGCTGGTATTCAAGGATGTCTTAACTCGGTAAATATCTAATAGGCAGGTTCCACTAAGCATTCCAAGGGAGAAATGATAGTTCATATTTTTCATATTACTTGGTTCAAGTTTGTTCTAGAGTCCTGGAATCTGTCGTGTATTAAGTTGTTATTCTCATCAACTGCTTTAAATTTTTCATTTGCCTTCTTGCTGGGAGCATGTGTATTTGACCTCACTTCACCAACAATTAATGACATGGATAAGAAATTTACATAAAACCCTTTCTTTACATCTGATGGACATTTCTTTAAATTATTTGTCTTCCCTAAGCCCAAGAAGTGCATTCTTTTTAACTCTCTTCTTTTAACCATCAAATCATGTGTGCTTTTGAAATAAAACCAATCAAATTCCTCGTCAATGGCATTATCTATAAATATTTTTCTCCTGCTTGCATTAGTGTTCATCTCTTTGACTATGTTTTTGTTTGACTGTAGTAAATATGGATATATTTTCATCCACAAATTGAAATCCAAGGAATTTTCAATATCAGAATCTTTGCGATATGCAAATCCTCGGCCTCCTTCATGTATAGGTTCAATAATAACAGTTAGTATTGGACAGTGTTGACCACAAACAGCATAGAGTTTATCCAAAGAGTCACCTTCCTGAAGAGCACCACCACAAGTTACATTATTGTCAGCCAATGACTGCCTTTTCATATTACCATCAGATACAGGATGGACTTTGTTACCAGCTGACTTAAAGGTCTGAGTGACAGATGTGCATATTCTGGACTGGTGATTACCCTTCTCCTCTGTATGGTGATTAGGTATTCTTTCCATGGTGCATCTTTCTTTCTGAACATCTGGCATATCCTCTTGAAAAGGCTCAGGGTCGCTACCATGAGGCATATTAAAATAGGTGCATTTCAATTCAAGAGGTTGAGTAAGTTCCTCCACTTCTGAAGAGGATAATTCAGCCATAGCTGGGCCTGGGGCCAAATTTCCAAAATGTGAATATGGCACCTCATTACTGTTATCATCAAGCAATGTGTCCACTGATGTGGTGTCTGCATTGACATACATGACAGAATGTTCAGGGGATGACACTCTTAGCAAATGATTTTCTTTAAGGAACCACTTGCCTTTGTCAATCAGCACTCCTTCCTCTATGTTCCTAAGAATTCTAGAAGGATCACTTTGTTTTGTACTATATTCTACAATAGCTCCTCCACTATAATTGGCCCTCACACCATTAAAGTCACATTTATCTTTCATTTCCTCCTGAAATCCATGCATCACAGGTGAACTCCTAGATATCTCGTCAAAGGAACCAAATGACTGACCTTCAGAATCATGTAGGCCCTCTCTCCTCGCACACTGAAATTCCACAGAATTGTGAGGGCAAACCTGAGATCTTCGTGTAGCACCCAATGTAAGAGATGGTTTAGTAATTTCAGCTTTACCGTAAAGTTTTTCTATTGCCCTTTTAACAAACCCTGTGTTGTGTGTTTTTCCCTGGACAATAGCTTCACTCCTGTCATCGGAAACATCACTGGATGTTTTACATGGCTGTTCTCTCTCACTGTTTTGTCTGCACTGTAATAAATGAGAAGTTTGTGGGCTGTCACAGCACTGTTTATAATCAAGAGAAGACCCTGAATAACTACCAGTTTCCATGATTTTCCCCATCATTTTGATTCTCATGTTTCTTTTTCCTTCATTGATCTCCTTTTCGGTGTTTTGCTTAGAGCCACAGGAACAATCTAAAAGTGGTGGTGTTACCAGACGTCTACTGATTGACTCGCCGAGTACGTCACCTGTTCTTCCTTCTGCAAGGTTTCTGCGAGAGACGTCTATCCTGTCCACATTTGCACGAGTCTTCAACTCTTCGGGGATTGGTTCTTCAGCAGCTTGCTGTCCGGCATTTAAGTTTGTATGAGAGATACTAGTTTTTTGGTTTTCTAATTCTTCAAAAGACTCCAATTCTGCCGTGTTTCTTTCACTTGATGTCATGCTGTCAGTTATTGAGGCTGCTTCCTCAGAAGTCCTTAATTCTTCTTTACCAGGCGATGTATATGCTTTTTTATCCTCGTTTTCATACTTTAATGAACAACTCTCAAAATGAGCTAGAGCATCATGTTTCTGTTCTGCACCAAATTTAGGTTCTGTTGCATCTGGTAAACAGCCACACTGGTTTAAACGACCCATGTTTTGCCATGACACCCGCATATTAAAGTTATCTTTATTCACAGGGTCTGCCAACCTATCGAGGTCTTTTTCAATTTCATCAACTCTTCCTAATTCCTCAATCAATTCCAATTTATCAGTATGTGCATGGCTTCTGGAATTTAAACAGTCACTGCGACTGCACATTTTGATGGGGCTGCAGGTGTCTTCAATTGGGCAAGCTGCCTCATAAATATGGTTCTCCTTTTGAGCACAAGACACAGCCGCAGTAAGTGAGCAAACCTCTTCTAGGGCATAAACTTTATTCCTGGAGAGGGTCTGATCCATGGCAGAACCATCAAGATGAGAAAAAGTTTCACTGGTATTACAGGTCTCTTCTGGAAGATAAATCTGACTCCTAGTGCTCATATCACCTGAAGAATAAGTCACTTCTGAAACGCAGTCTTCCAAAGAGCTTTCCTGTGGCTTCTCATTTGCAATGCACTTGGGCAGTTTCTGAATTGGGACTGTGAAACAATTTGCAGACATACCCATCAGAGCCATTTCTTTTTCCTTCTCACTGAGTCCAAAGCAACCTGGGATTGAGGCCATTAAATTGGCCACAGCAGCCTGCAAGTCATCAGCTTCCTCTGTGACGGCGATGCGCTTTAGAATCTCCAACAAAGCAAGCAGTTCTGAAGATCTGCAGGTACTTTTGTGGGCGTGGTCATCACCTTGACAGAAACTACTCATCATTCCCTTTAGGTGGAGCACCAGGAGCCAAGCCAGAAGAAGATTAGTGGATGAGTGACGTTTTTCAAGAGAAGGGAAGGGAGCCTCTGGAAGTGAGCCTTCCGTTTGAACAACTCCATTCGGAATCGTCTGAATACCAGGGATTGAAGTTTGCAGGTAGCGAAGCAACAACACTGGTCCAAGGTCTTTTTGAATGTCTTCTCCCATAAAATCTACTTGGACAGCAACCTCTACACTTTGCTCTTTTGCTGAAAGGCTAATTTTGGGCCAAGCAAGGCTTACCTCTTGTCCTGTGTTAGCAGATTCCTGACTTTTAATATTATGATCCTCAATTGCTAACTGGGATAAAGTACAATATTCCTGCAGGGAAACCAAGTAAGCATCGTTCAGATATCCGGCTTGGTCCCCATAGAGGTCTTTGGTAAGTTCTTCACCATTATCTTTCACAATAAGAGATTTACCCACCTTTTTACCAGAATTACCTCGAGTCAAAATGGTATCTTTAGTTATGTGCCTATTACTTCCCATAAGAACATTATTTCCCTTTCTTGAACTTGTATGGATATTGTTTCCTGGAAAACCATTATTGTTACAACTTATCACATCCCTTTCACCTGTGCATCTTGGAGCTGATTTTTGAGGTTGTACAGGTGGAAAGAGGTGCACATTCTGCAGCCATCTCTGTATGTAATTCTGAACTGAATGATGGGCAATCGCCTCAGGAAAATCAGCTTTTTTCAGAGAAGCTAAGGAATCTTCCCTAGTTAGCGCATGTTGTTTACTTCCAGAAATGCCCAGTTTCAACTTTTCTCCTTGTTTTTTCTGTTTTTTAAAAGTTATGTGTGAATGATTAATCTTTGAAACTAAACTCTTCTTCATCATTCCTCTCCAGTACCCAGATGCCACTTCTGCCCGAGATTTTAGTCCACAAAAAGTTCTGGGTGTTTCCTCAAGGAAGTTAAAGGCATGAAATGAACTTGGACTTTCCGAAGTATTTTTGAGATGACTCAATTCACTCTGGGGAAATACGTTATCTCTTTGAACAATTTCCCTTTTTGTAGATCTTCCTGGGCTCACTTTCTTTAGTGTTCTCGATTTTTTTTCTTGGGCTGAAGGTTCTGGAACCTTATGATTTTTAATAGTTTTCAATTTATTTCTATGGAAATTCTTGGAAATTGCGGAATTTAGATTATTTTTGGAACAGAGATCATTTGATTCAATTACTATGCTACTTGCATAAAGGTCTTTCTTACAAAGCATCCCTTCTTTCGAGGGAGAGTGTGAATCTGGCAATATGGCTTCCTGGGCAGTTTTGCTTTCTGTGTGCACTCTCTCCCTCCTCCTGGGGAATCCTTTGTTCACAATCTCCCCATCCTGAGGTCTTGTATCGGTCGGTTGCTGCTGAAATTTCTTCTTCTTTTTACTTGCAATAGAGGATGAAATCAGCTTTTCATTATCTGGAAGTTTTGTTAAACCACACTGAGAAAATTCATTAATTAGTTTGTCAATTCGTGTGGTAACATTTGATGATCTTATGGGAGCTGAAAGTTCTGAAATCATTTTATCAGTTATAGAATTATTACCTGAAAGGTGAGTTGTATCTCCCGAGAGAGGACGAACCCTAGTATTGGGGTTACCACAAGGTCTGAAGATCTTGCTACTAGTTTTGTTGTCTAATATTACATTACCAATTACATCGTCCTCCACAGTTGAGTTTTCTGAAGCAGTCTGTGGCAAGCCATTATGAGACCTCTCTAACATCTTTTGACTTGTAATTTCTATAACCCCGGTCCTTACAGCACTAGACTGGAGTAACTTGCTTTCTTTCTTCTTTTTAAAGGACGACTCCATCTGCTGGTCATTATTGATCTGAACGAGAACGGGTTTGTTGGATAATGATGACATTTTACTGCTAGAACGTGCGAATACGTGATACTCAGATTTGTTCTCCTCGTCTTCTGTTTCTTCACTGTAGGAAAACTGTCTAATCATTTTCTCTTGAATTTCGGTTTCAGATACTAAGGTCACACTCCCTATCATGGATTTCTTTTGTCTCGCTCTCCTTGGCCCAGGTGTCGGGGGTCTATAGTGATGGTTATGCTCTTGATCTTGAGTTACCTGGATGACATCTGTGTCCATAGCAGCAATCTCCCAACTAGCAGAACTGCACGTTCCCACCCTTTGATCTGGCATTTGGGTGTTTCCCTCCTCTAGCAAGCTGCTCTCTCGATTATTGTTTTCCATCATAGGCAAGATTTCTGCAGACAATGCTGCCAATTTCAAACCCGGTGACTGTCCACCTGTTCTTCCTGGAAAACTGCTTACCTCATGCTTTTTATCATTATTAGAAAGATCAGTTCTACTGACAGTGGTTGTCCATTTGATGGTTTCCTTTTCTTTTATCTTGAAGCGAACTTTCATCTCAACTGTCATGGTACCATCTTGATTAAAAATAACTGATTTCTCAATATCATCTTCAGATGGATGTATCAATAAATTTTGAGAATCCTTTTTTTCTAAGGACAAGCAATTCTCAGAAGTAAAAGAACAGTCTGAGTAGCAATCATTATTATTATTTTCCGGTTTTTGAGAAGAAACAGAATATATTTGAGACCTTGGGCTTGAAGGTACATGCATGCTCACTTTCAAGGTTTTATGATAAAAATACCCCACATCAAAAACAATGTGGAGCATAGAGAAGTTATAGATATCCAATGACAAATGCAGCAAATAAAAAAGGAAAAGAAAAGAATTAGTATAAAAAGCAATATGTTATCTGAATTTCATAGTAAATGTATTGGGGGGGTTTTCTCTCCCCTCACCTCTATGTAGGCTTGGTCATTCAAGAAAACTTACTGGAATTTCTGGTAAATTTCTACAAATCACATTCAAATTCTATTTATCATTCTTATAATTCTACTTCATAAGGAGATTCACAAAACTATAATAATATTTAATGAAGTAATTTTAGTAAGGGCTGTAGAATGCAGGAATTCCTAAAGATTCCAACCAAAATAAAGGGATTTGTGAGGTTTGATTATCATTACTAAAATTGCAGTCTAACCAAATACTATTTACCTATTCGAACAAGGCAAGTAGGAATTTACAGTACTATTAATTTTCATATCTGTGCCTATCAGATGGCGACATCTCTAGCTTTAGAAAAGTTAAAACATTTTTATAATTCATTTTAAGGCCTAGATGAATTAAGTAGCAATCTTTAATTTAGCATTTGTTGAGTGGTATGATGTCTGGATTATGTCCTAATTAAATGGTTTGAAAAAACGTTATTCTATATCTAAATAGAATGAAAATGAGAATTAAGTATAAATGGCCATCAGTACTATAAAATACAGCTAAAGTTTTGCTGGAAATAGTGAGCCTAATGAACTATGAGATTAGCTATGCTGTTGTAGGTAATGCACAGTCTGATCCACAGACTAAACAACAAGAAGACTTTTCCTTCAGTAACTGAAAGATACTCCCATGGTGTACAGAAGCTACGAAGGCATTATCAAACTATTTTATTGTTATCCATCCAGCCAACCTATATTATTATTATTGGCTGCATCAACTTTTTTGCATAAACAAAAGGTGCATCTAAAGGCCTGTGGATTTTACTAGAAAAATTCCAGAAAGTGGAACATAGTTGTTATGACCCCTACCCACTGTTAGCGAGTGTATTCTGACTCATGGGGACACTATAAGATAAAGTAGGACTACTCCTTATGGCTTCTGAGACTGTCAGTCTTTATAGGTGCAGACAGCTTCATCTTTCTCCCTCAACGTGGATAATGGGTTTGAACAGGCAACCTTGCAGTTAGCAGCCAAACACCAAATTCACTATGTTACCAGGGTTCCTCATTTGTCATTAGAGATTGGGGAAAGCACAAAGTCCAAAGATTGACTCGAGATGAAAGTGTGGCACAGAGTGACAGGCGGGCTAGCTTCCTGACCCATTGAGACAAAAGCCAAAAGCTGAAGAACAGGTGAGAGATTTAGTGACCATGTGACTGATAGGCTGAGAAGCAGAACAAGATTTGGCTGCTGGCTGAACAGACCGAAGACTGTATCCTTACTGTTTACTGATTCTGGCTGTGGTGAGCTATGAAATCTGCTAATAGGCCCCTTTCACTATGAGTGTTGTCTGTGCGTTCTGTGTGGCCATTGTAATCAAGTATTGAACCCAGAATAGGGGTAGCGTGGTCAGGGAAGGACCACTGCTGTCAGAAGAGGAAAAAAGGATGGTCCTGGGAGCTTTGTCTGACTCCTGCCTCTTGGCAATAGGAATCCTTGCCTCCAGTGCCTTGTTATAGATTTAATCCATTCCATGACAATGGCATTGTTCTGCATTGTTTTAAGAGCAAAACAGCAAACTCCTTCCATTTACATAGATATTTCATTGACTGATTTAGGAGAAAATCAAAATCTCTCATTCCAATGATATATCTATGACTATTTTCAATTTAGGATGTCTTAAAATCTCTTATTTTCTCTCCTGTATGAAGGAAAGGGATTATTGAAGAATGTTTTTCAAAAATTATTATTATTAATTGTTAAAAGATGAAGAAAAAGAAGGCTCAGGGTTAAAATTAAGGGTTATATATTTAAGGGACTTACTCTTTCTGCTTTCTGACTTAGCATTTTCTTTGGAGTGTATGCGCTGAGCAATCACCGGTAGCCTAGCAGGGAAGAAGCACTTTCGGATGTCATAATTTCCTGGTTTAAATGGCTCCTTTCCTGCCACCACAATGGCTCCAGGGTTCAGGATCATGGCTTGGAGGTTGGGAATCTAAAAAAAAAAAAAAAAGCAGAGTTCGGGTCTCAACTTGAACAGTAGTCTGTTCTTTGTATATATCATTTTATAATTTTCACTGAAGCAATTCGATAACTTCCTGCGTTGAAGGAGCTAGTCCCCACCCACGTGCTAGTTGGAAACACCAAAACCTGGGGCGGGAATACCTCTGGGGAAGACAATACTGGTTGCAGAAACGGACCTGTACTACAGCATCCCAGCAACAACAAAGCCCTGTACCACCCAGTCCGTTCCTCTGAGCCTGTGAGACAGAGCAGAATTGCCCTGCGAGGCTTCCAAGAATGTAAATCTTCGCTGAAGCACCTGCCACATCTTTCTACTGCGTAGCGCTTGGTGGATTTAAACCCACAAACTTTTGAGTTGGCAGCCAAGCACTGAACCACTGCACTAACCGTAGCTAATAAATAGACAGACGGATAGATAGACCATGGATGAAGTTTGTTGGTGGTGGTGATGTTCGTTTGTTTGTTAATTTGTTTGTTTTTGATGTGCAGGACTGCTTCTCCTTCCCCACCAGCCTTCAGCATCCGTCAGGAAACTCCAGAACAGGACAGGCCTGGTGTTCCGGCCTTGACCTCCTCTAGGACCCCAGGTAAATGCTTTCTCTCTCCAGGTAATGCCACTCCTGGCCAATCCTTTTTAAAAAATACCGCTGAGACTTGGGGGAAGAGGAGGCCCGAGGGGAGGGGGACTGTGGGGGAGGCGTGACATCTTTAAGCCCATAGATACCCACAACTACGGCCTAGAGGTCGAAAGATCCCGGACAAGGTCAAAAGAGGAATGCCAGCCCCTGGAGGATGAGCGACCCCCTGAACACCCACCTTCCTCCCATCCGTGGAGTACAGCTTCACCACGGGGTATGGCAGGACCTCGGCCAGGTGCTGCAGGAAGTCCTCGAAGGTGTGGGGGGCTCTCGGACTCACCAACACCACACACCCCGAGCGTGGGTCCCCGTTCTTGAAGACAGACAGCTTCCGCAGGCTGCGCGACCAAGCGGGCGGGGCGGCCGGCGGGCGGCGGCGCGCGGTGGGGCCCAGGGCCCGGCTGCTGTGCCAAGGGCGCGGCGGCCGGCGGGCGCGCTCCAGATCCACGGGCCGCACGCGCTGCCCGTGCGAGCACAGGTACGAGTGGCCGTCCTGCAGCTCCTCCAGGCGCGTGATGCTGTGCCCGCCGCGCGGGGTGCTGATGTTCCGCACCCCAAAGGGCAGGGGCACCTTCCTGGACAGGTTATCCAGCAGAGCGTCCAATGTCTTGAAGGTCCGAGGATTGAGCACGACCTTGACCCCGCCGAACTGGGGGTCTCCACTCTTATAGAAGCTGATCCGTTTGGCCACCACGGGTTGAGCGACGCTCAAATGACGAGAGGAGGCAACTCGACCTTCTGAAGAAGTGGGAGGAATCAGAGAGAAACTGGTGGAAGGTGTTTCGCTCATCTTGGTGAAAACTAGACAGGGAAGAACACTGTTAATGTCCACGATGACAGCATCGGAGAGGATGCAGGGGCACGCTAATGAACACTAACTTTCGTTGGCAACCAGTGTATTCCTGGGATCTTTTTTTATACATTCATTTATACCTGCCATTTAAAAAAATATATATATATATTTTTTTTTTTACTATATGTATATAGTAAGATTCATACAAGAGGAATAAAAGACCAGTTAAATAAGGATATTTGTCATTTAAAATGAAAATACACTAATGAGGGCTAAGTAAGTAATGCATGTTGTGTGCACGCAGGCAATGGGAAGCGCACAGCTACTCCATACAGAGAGATTTCACAGTGTGCTGCCGCCTGCATGCTGGGCAATTGGAAACGACCGGCCACTTCACAGGAGAAGATGAGGTTTTAACTCCCTTAGAAAGTTAGTCTCACGTCCCCTCACTAAAGGGTCACACAGAAGGGACGGTTCAGCCAGGGTGCAGTATAGTACCAATGAAACATACAACAGTCCTCTGGTTCTTTAATGATACACCCACCCACCTCCACTATCACGACCCCAGTTCCACCTCAAAAATATGTTACTCTGGAGTATGTACATCGGTACAGATGAGAACTTTCCACACTTGGAAGCCAGGACAGATAAACCCCCCAGAAACAGGAATGGGAATAGCAATACCATGAGGAGATGGGGAGGGGAAGAAAGGGGGAACCAATAGCAGTAATGGATGCATTCCTCCCCCAGGGGGGACAACTAACAGAAATGTGGATGAAGGAATACAGTGGATGGTGTAAGAAATCAAGAACATATTAATATATAATTTATCAAGGGTTCACCAGGGTGGGAAGGTGGGGTAGGAAGGGAAAAAAGAGGAGGTGAAAATTAGGGCTCAAGTAGACAGATAATGTTTTGAAAATGATGATGGCAGCATATGTACAAGTTTGCTTGACAATTGATTTATGGATTGTTGTAATATCTGTAAGAGGCCCAAATAAAATGACTAAAAACAAAGTTAGTCTCAGAAATTCACAGAGGTTGTTATATGATTTGAAATCAACTCGATGGTGTTGTTTCATTTTTGTTTTTATTGTTGTTTATTTATCGGAATAGGCAAATGGACATAAAATATTGTAACTGAAAAAAGTATATAATAAAACATTTTATATATCACTGATTTATATACTCATTTATTAAGCAATAAAGTCTGGAAGTATGATTATATACATCCCAATGTTAATGAGCAGTCATCTATGTATAGCAGAAAGAGGGATACAATTTGTGTGCGCATATGCTTCTTTGTTGTTATTGTTGTTATAATTGCCATACTTGGTGAATTTTAAAAATTAACAGGAACTGTTGCACAATTTCTAAGTAACAAAAGAAGCGCAAATCATAAACTATCCAGTGAAAAGGTTAAGAACATTTTGCAATGAATAAATTTAGTTTTCATGTACTGGCAATCAAGGAAACAGAAAAACACTGGAAAAGTTTATATGAAGTTTTCATTGTCTCTCATATTGAATCAAAGGCGTTCCTCTGGAGGACGTTTTTCTTAACATTAGATTGTAAGAAGAGTGATGCACTGTAGAGAGCTTTATGTGGGGGGAAAGGTCCTAAGACAATAGGGAAAAAGATGAAGACCCTCAATGAGATGGATTGACACTGTGGCTGCAAAAATGGGCTCAGCATAGCAGTTGGGAGGATGGCGGGAGACCGAACAGTGTATCGTTCTGTTGGGCTATGGTTGGAGACAAACCTGACAGCACCTAACAACCAGGAAGAAGAGCAAGGAGCATGTGATCTACCTCCTACCATGCTTTGGGAAACACTGCATTAAACACAGGGTTCTCGCCTGAATTACCCTATTGCTCCCCCTCCCGTTGCTCCTCCCTCCCCCCAAAATCATTCCATTTGAGTGCTGCCCCCTCTAGCGGTTTCAAGCCTAAAAGCCCTGGGAGAGGATTCGAGTAGGCCTTTTCCGTTTCAAGTCGCTAAGGGTTTCTGCTATGTCCACCGATGGAACCGCGTCTGGATGGGTTCTGTGTCTAGTTCCAGGTTTGTTTGCTTGTTTGTTAGCATTATGTGGTTATTTTCTATTGTTTTAAATCAATTTAGTTATTGTTTTTATGGCAGAAGAGGAGTACTCTTCTGAAACAAGTGTACAATTTAAAGGCAGGATGAACAAAGGGAATAAATAAAATCGGGATTACGGAGATGGAAAAGATGTTTAGCAGTATAAACCAGATATAAATCTGACCCAAATTACCTACCTAAATGTTTGCAAGTCGTTATCTAAAGCCCTTCATGTATCTCCAGGGTGTTTGCAAATTTTATTTATATGGAATTTATGAAAATTTATTCCCAGAAGTTTTCTCTCTCTCCTCCTTCATAGATTACAATTAATTATGTACTCATAACAACACAGGCACCTGTAGCTGTTTAGGGATCAGGAGCTGGGAAATCCAGCTTTACAATGGTGTCAGCAAACCACAGCCTCTTCTCGTCCTTCCCTGATAGTCTGTGCTCTGACCTTGAGCATGCTGCTTAATCTCACAGCCCTCTGCAGCGATCGGCAGGATGAGTTCCTTAAGCATTTAATATAAAATTTTCAGAAACTTTGCTTTTATTTACTTTTAACTTAGTTTACTTACCTATTTTCTTGAAAAGATTTTATATAAATGGTGCTTAGCACATTTCTCACCTAATTAGGCAAAACAATATTTAGCTATATGCAAGTGCATTGTGAGGCTTTTCAAATAACTAGTTTTCTGCTTTAAACGGGTCTGCTTCAGAAAGCTTGTTCAAAATGTTGAAGAGGTCACTGAGGTACTAAGGTGTCCTGGCCCTAGCCAGGGTATTTTCAGTCACCTCATATGCATGTGAAAGTTGGACATTCGGTTGAGAAGATGGAACAAGAGTTAGTGCATTTGAATTCTGGCAATGACGAAGGATATTGAAAGCACCGTGGACTGTCAGAAAGGGGGGGGGGGATCTGTCTTGAAAGAAGTACAGTCAGAATGCTCTTTGGAAACCAGGATGCCAAGACTTCATCTCATGTATTTTGGATTTGTTATCAGGGGCGACCAGTCTCTGAAAAGGACATCCTGTGGGTAAAGTAAAAGGACAATGAGAATTAAGAAGACCCTCAACAGGATGCATCGACACAGTGGCTGCAGCAATGAGCTCAAACATCACAGCACCACTGTGAGGGTGACCCGGCACCAGGCGCTGTCTTTCTTTCTTTTTCTTCTTCTTGTTGTTTTCTGTTGTACCAGGGCTTTCTAGCAGTCAGAACTCACAGAACTGAAATCAGCAGCAGACCAGGTTGCCACCTGGATTTCAGTATTTGGAGAGCATTGGACCCGCTGTCCAATTTGAAGACATGATGACATGAGCCCCTATGCTAAGGAATTTTCTTTGGTGGGCAGGGGCTGAAATAAGATGATAGAGATTCTGTGCTAGCATCAGGCTAATTGGATGGCAGGGGTGGCCTTCCCTGTGCCTATCCTACTGATGCTCCACTCAGCACCTGTTTTGAGGCAAATGCCTGAAGGACGGAAGTTGAAGACAACATCCCAGGTGCGGAAAAGTATTTGCAGGTGAGGCACCTGAAAGGATGGTTGTCAGATGCCTTGATGAAGAGACTGTAACGAAGATACAAGTTCAAAGCATCCTTATTGTACATGAGAGCTCTGGGAACATCCAGAAGTCACTGGGGGAAGTTTTAGGGAGAGGGTCACAATTCAGCATAGATGCAGGTGAAGCTCAGGACCCCATGGGAAGGTCAGTTTATGTGCCCACCACAGAGTACGATGAAGAATAATTGCTACCATTGAATAAAAGAATCTCTGTGCATACAGATCATGATGGGCTCATGGGGGAAGAGAGTTCAGGCCACATTCCTCCTGAAGTAGCTGCGTTGTCCCTAACCTTGATGTTAACATGTGTGTCTCCTCCGGAGCCCATAGAAAGGACAGTTGAGAAAATGTCCAGGGTACCAAGAGACTACCAACGAGAGGGCAGTAACAGGAAGAGATGGTGGTTGCGAACTTTCCAGAGGAAGCTTTGTGCAATGAGGGAGGAAGTTGGCGTGCCCTCCAAGAAGAAGGCAGTGTGGAGGCAGCACCCAACTGGTGCCAACAGAAAAGGCAGGAATGTAGATCTTGGCGGTAGAATGTCTCCTTCTGTGAAACAGTGACCTTGCTGTGTAACATTAAGCACCTATCTTGGTTTTCTCTCTCTCTGTCTCTCTCTCTCTGCTGGGTACAGTGTACTTTATTTACGGTACATGATAAGGTTGGGCTCTCTAAGCCACCACCCCTTCTTTATGGGGTCTGGATTAAAACTCTCAAGGGTGGGATTCTCTTAGTATGTTGAAGGGGCAAGATCTCTCCACCAGCTGAAGGTCTCTCTCAATCTCTAGTGCTATTGCTGGGGCTGGGTTATATGGCCTTTTTAAGGAACTTCCAACAATAACCAGAATCTGGTAGAAATTCAACATTTTTATAACACATTTTAAACAATAAGGCTTATTCTATGCCATCTGAAATTAGAATAAGACCGTAATGTACTTAGGGATTACCCAGGGAACAAACAAAGCCACCCAGATGATTGCTTTCTCTGTCAATTCAAGCTGAAGAAGAAGTGGAAGTGGAAAAGGCATAACAAGGGAACAATAGAACCTTAAGATCCTCCAACTTTCTTGCCTCAATTTAGAAAGCTCTTTCCTTCCAGATCAATTTATATTAATATCTGAGTGATGGTTTCACAATTTGCTACCAATATTTCTCCCCACTTTTCTGCAGAGGCTTTTGAATGTTGGCAATTAGACCACAGAACTATCACAAAGACTTTTTTTCAAGGTGAAGCAGATTTTTCAACACCCTTTGTTTTATTATAATCTAATAGTTCAAGCATAATTCAATTTAGCTGCGCTATCATTCGTCTTAATCAACAGTGCACGTGAGTCTATTTTGCTCAGAGCTAAAGAGTTGCTTCCGTC